AAGCTTGAATATTGGAGATCTCAACAATGAAATGCATCTTCGCGTACAATGCTTTTGGTATATGTACACTAAGGGGCGCTGAAGTGAAATGTGCTGCTGCTTTCCACGGGCACGCCCAAAGAATCAAATTCTGAATTATTACGTGGGACGCGGTACAGGAGTGGTTAGATTGCAGATCAGTTAAGCGACTTTTTCGCGTTTCGCAGCGCGAAATTTTCGCTGTAGGATCGCAGGAGACCCTGGGGTCACTGAATGATCAGCGGTGGACCTGATGTCTCCGTAGCGAAAAATGTTTCGCGTGTGAAAAGCAAAAAAGTCGCTTTCTGTCCTAGTGAAAACACACCTTGCCGTACTGACAAACCATGCCTGCCCTCCATATCGATTATTTGGCACTATAGTTTTGTGGGAGTGTAAGAACACTGATCAGCTATGGCTGGTGTCAGAGTCCGCGATTTTTTGCGCGATTTTCGCGATTTGCGCGACGGTCACGGAAATCTCAAGTGCCTCATTCAATACTGCAAGGTGTTCTCTTCCACTTGCTTCATATTCAGTGTTTCAATTGTTCAAATGGGCCACTTGCAATTTTTGTGATCCGCGCGATCTCATGGTCATCCTCATGGTCAGTTCAGAATAGATGCAGTTCCGTCCCTGAACGAATGAGCATTTCAATGAATAATAGACATAACATTAAACGAGTAGAATCACGGGCAGTCTTCCTTCAATTTCCAGGATTAAACAGCACCTCGCAGTATTCATCGGGGCACCTCCAACTCCTGTGACCCATCGCAGGTTTCGCAAAAATCGCGCAAATCGAATCGCGGACTCTGACACCAGCCTATCTGTTCGCCTCATAGGTCGTTGTATAAGCCAAATCGCGTTCGAAATCACACGATTCAAATGGGAAGTTCCTTTTTGTGAATCGAGTCACCACGATGTTACAAGTGGAACGCGTCCGCAGCAGAAGACGTAAAGCTTATGTAAGGTAATGTATGTGTGGAGGCGAGGTACTGTTGACGAGGGGCCAATCTGGCTATGACCATATTTCACTACCCTTCGAGTCAAATTCATTTTTCAAGCCTTGAGTTGGAGATAGGAAACGGCTTATGATTCTTTGCAATTGAAATAAATTAGGCTCCCAGACAATACCTAATCGTATGCACAACACGATTTTATGTAGTAGAGGGCATTACAGCAATCACAACACGGCTTACAGTAGGATTTCAGTTCTCAATTGTACCTTAAAATTAGATCCGCACGGAATTGGAGGGTTTTCCTCCTCTTTTGCGTTTTCCCCACCACTCTCCACTTCCGGTGCTAACTGAGGGGGGGGGGGACCACGCGGCTGCGCGGCGCTGTTCTGTTCGTCTGCTCCTCCAAAAGCTTAGGCTGCTTTCATACTTTGCGCTGTTGCGGACGTTGCAGGCGTTGCGAGCATGCGGATCCGACGGAAACTGCGAGGAGCGTTGAAACGCGCGCTGCGCCATTACGCATACTTGTAGCATAGAAGGTGCCTTTCGAGCTAGATTTCGATTTCAATACATTCTGTCTACTTTTTGATATTCTACGTGCCGTGTTGTTTTACGACGCGAAGTATGAAAGCAGCCTTAGTCCGCGATGGCGCGTATTTCGAAACTGCCACGTGGCGACGAAATAGTAACTGCCCTTGGACTAAGCCTTAGAGGAGCAGACGAACAGAGCGCCGCGCCGCCGCGTGGTCCCCCCAACTAAGTTAGCACCCCACTTCCCTCCAGCTACGACTGCAGCACCATGTCGAGTGGTCGAAAATGTGCTCAGTGGTGTTTATATAACCGCCGAGGTAGACTCACTACCCCATTACAAAATTATGATAGCTCAAGCCCTGCGAGCTACCCGATTGTGTTATCGGTTTGCTTATTTCTTGAGCTTCCTCATCACTTCATCACTTCAT